AATTATTTTTCTTATATATTTTTAACAAATTTAGGAAACTTTGAGATGTTAAAGGGTTTTTTGGGAATAAGTTATTTTAATAATTTTTTAAATTTTTTTGAGAAAAAAATGGCACTTTTTGATTTTTTTTTAAGAAAAAACGTGATATTAAATAATATAAAATTGTAAAATTAACTATATTTGCCCCTATTATGAAGTCTCAACTTTTTTTTTTTTTTTTTAAAAAAATTTATGTTTTCTGTTGTGCAGATGCGGCAGAGGCAAAGATCAAATTAGTAGCAGGGTAACTTCGTCTTTTCGCAAGAAAGAGCTTTCCATCCAATCCGCCAATTCGGCGGACGAATGGCGGATTAAAGGTTTTCCGGCCGCAACCGAACCATGAACTCTTCCCTTAATTTTAGGAAAAAATTCTAACTTTTTGGCCTTTTTTTTTGTTGTAACTTTTCAACTTTTTGTGTTAATTTAGATCATGCCAAACAAACCTTTAAAGTATTGATTGGCAACTTTGAGATGTTAAGACTAAAAATAATATGAAAATGAGATGAACCCTAAAATGATCCCTTCATTACTCAAACTAAACAACCTAAAACTTTTACATGTTCACTGTTAGTTTAAAAAAAGATTGGTAGCCCGAATGATTTCCGTCATGGGTAATGGTACTTTATTTATTTTTAATATCCATGAAAGTCAGTTATTAATTGTTAGCATAACACCTATGAGAATTAGTCTCATCACCTTTGCAAAACACCAAGTACTTGCCTCCTAATTCAACTTCCCCTTAGAGAGAGTTGAACCTATGACTTGTCCCAGAGAACTAAACCCTTAGAAGAGTTATGATGGCCAACTAAGCTAGGCTTAGTTGGTTCGGGTAATGCTACTTAGGTCCAAAAATTAGAGTTAATTTTTAAATCTAATAAGGTGACAATCTATTAGAATATCTAATGCAACTCTCTCTCATTTTTTTTTAATTGCCAACCAATCATCTTATTTTCACATAATTAGGAATATAAAATGGATTTAGAAAATAGACTTATATATTATTTTCCTTCGTTTAATATCACTGTTAAAAAATCTGGAGTAGTATATGTAAAATTATCTAAAGCACAACATTTTTAATGTTATGCTTTTATTGACACTAACAATTCCCTTCTAAAATAGAAAATTATTAAATAATCTAAGAGTGGCGATCTCGGCTAGTGGAAATTTCAACTCACATAGTGTGGATCATCCATTATCTCCACTTACCCAACAAAGATTCACCATGCTTTATCCATAAGATTTCTGTTATGCCATTAATTTGGACTACCATACAAGTTCACTTGATACTCTAGAAACACCCAATAATTGTCGTTTCTAGCTAGATTACCAATAGGAACAATTTGAGCTTTTACACAAAATCATCCAAACCAAAAAATAAAAAAATAAAGAGACATTTCATCAACATGTGAAATGCAATAACATCAAAATAAAATGGTCAATTTTGTGAGCACACCATGAAAGGCGGTTGCATGTTGGGGTCCTTGTGGATATGGGTGGGTAATCTTATCTTAATTACTTCACTCTTGGGTGGGTTCATGGGAAGCAGTTGAGAGGAGGACTCTGCTACTTCTTTGCTAGTCCTTTGCTCTGGGTTCCCCTAGATCTTGCTGCTGTTCGATTGATTTTTGGCTGCTAAATTTGGTTGGATGTATGGCTGATTCAAGCTTTTTCTTCTGTTTTTGCTATCCTTGGGGGGGTCTAGTGCTAGGCTAGGGTTTGGCTGATGTTGTAATTTGAGATGAGCTTGAATGTTGGTTGTTTCTATGGTGTTGTACTGGTTGGTACCTCACCAACTTTTGTGTTGTGCTTGCAAATGATTTAGTTAGTACATCAGTGCCAATCAAGTTAGGGCGGATTTACTTTGTTTTATTTTGATAGTTTTCGCACTTTTTTTTTTTTTTTAATTGATGTTGCCTTTGTATTATGTACAATTTTTTTCTTTTTGCTGATCCAAAAAATTAAAAAATAAAATAAAATGAAAACCCTCACATTTCTTTAACTTAAAATTAACAAACTTTGCATATATATAAATAGAAAGTTGAATGGGAAAAAATAATAATCTGTGTATATTAGTTATAATCCACTGCAATAGTATTTTTGAATTTGAAACAACTTAAAATAAAATACCTAATAAGAAGAGGGTTGTGTATGTTTGATAGAGCAATTCAGCTTTGAGTTTGTACGTTATAATTAGCTGTACTGAATTGTTTATCATATTTGATGATAAATTTGAATGGTGGGTTGGGGTGAGACTTAAGAAGAAGGAAAGAAAGATTTGGAGAGCAATTCCTCTCCTTGTACCATGGTCCTTGTGGAAACATAGGAATGAATGTGTGTTGAAGACAATTGCTCCTAATATGGCTAAGCTATGTGAATTGATCAAAATTAGAGTTGCATTATGGATGAAGGCAAACACTAAGGAATCTCAATTCACAATTCATGACTTTATTTGTAATTTGAGACGGATTAGAGTTTGCTTAGGAGTAAGAGTGGTGTAGTCGTTGCAACTAGATATGCAGGGTTAATGTTGGATGGGATGAGGGCCTCGGCTGATGTGTCTTTGTTTGCTTTGTCCTTTCTGAGCTGCTTTGTTGGTTGGTACCTCACCAACTTGGTGTTGTGCTAGCAAATGATAGGGTCTGCTTTTCAGTGTCACCCTAGTTGTAATCGTTTTTTTTGATGTATGTCATTTGTATTGAACTTTGATTACAATCAATAAAGCTTCTTCTTTTTTGCTGATTAAAAAAAAATAATAATTTTGAAATGGGAAAATATGTCTTTCTTTTAAAAGTCATAAATTGTGGAATAATTAGAGTTTTATTGTTAGATTTATAATTAGATTCTAGTGAATTGCTTTTATAATTATTGTCATACAAATTTAAATTTTGAAATAGTCGAACATACCTCCCATTTTGAAATAAGTTAGATTATATCGAGATAAACTAAAAGTAGTTAAATTTTGTTAGGAAAAACATATTAGTTTTACAATAAGGAAGCCTAGTGGAGATTGATTGGCAACTTTGAGATGTTATGTTAAGAACAAATAATATGAAATAAAATGAACCCTAAAATGATCCTTTCATTACTCAAAAAAGTAAGCAACCAAAAAATTTTATATGTTCATTTAAAAAAGATCGGTAGCCCGAATTATTTCCTTCATCGGTAATGCCACTTAGGTCTAAAAATTAGACTGACTTTTCAAATTTAGTAATGTGATAATTTATTAGAATATCCAATGCAACTCTCTCTCTTATACTTTTTTAATTATCAACCAATCATCTTATTTATTTATTATTAAGTCTTGAAAGTGAGTTTAGAAAATAGACCTAGATATTATTTTCCTTCATTTAATATCACTGTTAAAAAATCTGGACTAACATATGTAAAATTATCTAAAGCACAACATTTTTAATCTTGGGCTTTTATCAATTGGCACTAACAATTCCCTTCCAAAATAAGAAAGTATTAACTAATCTGAGATTGGTGATCTCGGCTAGTAAAAATTTCAACTCACATAGTGTTGGTCATCCCTTATCTCCTACTTATCCAACAAAGATTTACCATGCTTTACCCATAAGATTTTCGTTACGCCATTAATTTTGGCTATCATACAAGTAATACTACATAATACTCTAGAAACACCCAATAATTACGTGAAACGAGAAGTCCTTTCTAGCTAGATTACCAATAGGAACAATTTGAGCTTTTACACAAAATCATCCAAACCAAAAAATAAAAAAATAAAAAAATAAAAAAATAAATTAATAATTAAGAGACATTTCATCAACATGTGAAATGCAATAACATCAAAATAAATTGGTCAATTTTGTGAGCACACCATGAAAGGCAGTTGCATGTTGGGGTCCTTGTGGATATGGGTGGGTAATCTTATCATAACTACTTCACTCTTGGGTGGGTTCATGGGAAGCAGTTGAGAGGAGGACTCTGCTACTTTTTTGCTAGTCCTGGGTTCCTCTAGATATGTTGCGGCTGTTTGATTGATTTTTGGCTGCTAAATTTGGTTGGATGTATGGCTGGATCAAGCTTTTTCTTCTGTTTTCGCTATCCTTGGGGGGTCTAGTGCTAGGCTAGGGTTTGGCTGATGTTGTAATTTGAGATGAGCTTGAATGTTGGTTGTTTCTATGGTGTTGTATTGGTTGGTCCCTCACCAACTGTTTCTATGGCTGATGTAATTTGAGATGAGCTTGAATGCTGATTGTTTCTATGGCGTTATATTGGTTGATCCCTCACCAACTTTGGTGTTTTGCTTGCAAATGAATAGTATATCGGTGCCAATTTAATTAAGATGGATTTACTTTTCTTTATTTTAATAGTTTTTGCACTTGCCTTTTTTATTAATGTGTTTGTATCATGTACACTTTTTTCCTTTTGCTGATCTAAAAAAAATGAAGGCCCTCACATCTCTTTAATTTAAAATTAATGGAAAGTTGAATGGGAAAAAAAATTAATGTGTATATTAACAAAAAGCAATTTTGCCTATGCAAGGAAATTTGTCGGCAAAAGGTAAAAATCATTGGCAAAGAGTTTTGTCGACACATAAAGTTGTGCTAGCATGCCGTTGGCAAAAGTGTGTCGGGAAAGACTTTTACCGACAAATATATCATTGCATCAGCAAAAAACATTTAGTCAATAAAAGCCTTCATTTATTGTCGCCAATTTACCATTGCATTGGCAAAACTGGCTCAAATAAAATGATTGTGTGACACTTTTATTGACCCGAATTTGCATCGACAAAAATAATACTTTTGGTGACTCAATATTAGTTGACAAAAGTAGGCTTTTGACAACAAATAGGCTTCGTCGGCAAAACGTCTAATTGTTCTTTAAAAAAAAATTTGTTATTTGGGAAGACAAAAATTACCATCACAAATAACAAATTACTTTTCAATAAGAAATATGTATTGTTCAATAGTAATAAATTACGTACACACATCAATGCATTGACATTAAAAAAACTCTAATTATATAAGTAACAACAATAGATCACGTGTTCTTACAATTCAAAATTTAAGTGTAAACACAATAATACTTACAAGAGACACACACCAAGTAATAAAAATAAAATCAAGTCAATTCACAATTAAAACAATGTGTTTATTACAATGGCCTTTAGTGTAACCTACAGATGTTGCTGCAAGTGTCGAATCACCATGGCAATTAGCATTTCTAAGGTTAATGAGGCAAGAGATGCTTCTTCTAGTAACTTCTTTTCCTTCTTTGAACAACCAAACCATTTCAATATAATGTGTTACTTAACGACAATCTGAAACACAAAACATAAAGAAGTCATGAGTTTTAATTCTAAGTGGTTTTGCAAATACCTCTAACATGTAGTCTGTTGTTTTCATGAATTGTTCATGATGTATAATCATCGTGACAGTGGGATTAGAAGCAAACACCATTCCAAAATTACTTGTTCATGATAGTATTAAAATCTTGAATCAGTATAACAATAGCATTGGAGCACATTCCAAAGCCAACCATGCAACTAAATTGACTATTAAAGTACTCTAATGAGAGATTTCCCTACTACTTTCTTCTCAGCATATCATCAATCAAGATCCTTTTTGAGGAATTCTAGCATAACTACCAATCAAAATCAACCAAATTCTAATCATATACTAGTGGCTCAACAATCAGTTTCAGCACTAATCATGCCATATACATGAATAACAGTTCCAAGCAATAAAAGAGGAAGATACATAATTAGAGAATTTACCTCGGGTGTAAACTATTGCAAAATCACATAGGCAATCTGAAGAGATCTTAAACACGAGCAAAATTAGAACCTTAGTCAGAGCCTGAGCTACAATCTACTGCACAACTCAAAGAACAAGTGTAGCACATGACACAAGTGCAGTCTCAGCATTTGCCTGTCAAATCTTGTGCATCACAGGACTGTAACAATATCCAGATGGATTGTTACAATGGGATTAGTTGTGATGGTTAGAATAATTTAAGACATTTTGTAAAAGAAAAAATAAAATAAAAATAAGAGATCAAGAAAGTGATTGTACATCATTTTTTTATATTTGAACTGGCTATAAAAAAATTGTAAAACTAACCTGATTTGATATGGATAACAACAAAAATTGATTTCAATAATCAATTGAAAAAAAATACAAATAAATCATCACATTCCACCTCTCAACATGTAGACACAAAACAGAACATATGATTTTCAACATAATTAGAAATGCACTCGATAGATAAGAAAAATGAAAACAAAAGGGTAATCATGACATTCAAATGCACAAATCATATAACCAAACCAAAGTTTGAGCAGAAAAAAGCAGTCATATGCTGCATAACAGAGGTAAATAATCATTACAATCAAATAGTCTTCAACTTACAGTTAAACCAGTACGAATATAATCTGTTGTGCTTTCATTAAGCTTCGGCAATTATCAGTTGTTCTTGTCCAGAACAGGAGGTGAATCCAGAAAATATGGACCTATTTCCACTCGAACTTCACCTAGAATCTTAGATAACCTCCGTGTCTCTTTATTCATCATCACCCAGACACTGCACCAAGCAAAGTCACCACAATAATAAACAATAATAAAAAGTCTGGTCAGTCAATAAGTAATTAAATTTAATTTTCAGAATATGTTATTCTTAACACACCAAAAATCCATGACTTACCATGCTCCTGGGGATAGCAACCTAATCCAAAACATATCTCCACACAAAAACTAAAACATTTCTTACCTGAATAGAAAGAAATCGAATCCATGAGGAAAACCCAGAAGACAAAACACAATAACCACACAACCCTTCAAAAGTGAAAAAAGAAAAAAGAAAAGTAAATATATCAAGCACAATTGTAACACAACAATTCATTAGCAAAAAAATATAAACCAACAAAATAAATCATGAGAAAAAAATATAAACCAAAAAAGTGTACTATAAAACACAAATAGCGAACCTCGATAGACCCCTTGTAGAAGATAAACTGCTTTGTATTCAATCCTTACGAGATAAAGTTTCAATTCCAAACGGAGAAAATCAACACCCGTAGAAGAAAGATTAACTATAAAGTTCCCAAGTCCGGCTGATCCACTTAAATCAAACAAGGAAAAAAGATAGACAAGGTAAGCAATCAAATAAAACGAAAAAGGAGAAGAAAATATAAGTGAAAGAAACGGAGAATTCAGAGTAATCGTAAAGATTGAAAAAAATTGAAAAAAAAAAAAAACAAACAAACAAACCCATAAAGCCAACATCTGTAGAAGAGGATATCAACTTCATTGATTCTAGCTCCAATGGAAAACACAGAAGAGAAAATAAGCAATGAAATTAAAGAAAAGCCAAAAGAAAAGAGAAGACGAGAAATCGTTAATTCATAGAAGGAAAAAAAAATCCCGACTCAAGTTGTGCCATTTGCTGGAAAACACAAAACAGAAGAAAACATGGAGAAGATAAGCAATGAAAACAAAAAAAACCTACCAAAAAACTAAGGAAGAAGAGATAGAGATGGAAAATAATCGTTTATTACACTGCACTATTGACATCATTACAACAAATAATAAAAAAGGAAAATGCACACATGAATGATAATAAGCTTTTTATAGAAATTAATTCAAAAACATCACTATGAAATAAATAAACCAGTAAAGCAGTGGAATAATAAAAAATATAATACAAAATACGAAAAATAACAAACATGATCAATCGAAACGATGAATTAAACCCTATAAAAACCAATATGAGAATTAAATCATTATAAATCAAAACCCCTTTCAATACCAAACCATTAGGCCTAATAGAAGAAGAGAACCCAAAACTCATAAGTTTTCTTTTAAAACAAAGTTAATTGAAACCATAAAAACTATGATAAACTCATACTGCAGAATAAAACTCCAAAACATCGGAGAAAGAAAGAAAAGAATAAAAAATATCTGATGGAGAAACAAAAAAGCAAGAATTATTACGGGTAAAGAACAAAAAAACAATTCCTGATAATTACTTCACGATGAGATGTGATGATATAGATTGTTTAATGCATTAAACAAAGGCATTATTACACTGCACTATTGACATCATTACAACAAATAATAAAAAAGGAAAATACACACATGAATAATAATAAGCTTTTTATAGAAATTAATTTCAAAACATCCCTATGAAATAAATAATAAACCAGTAAAGTAGTGGAATAATAAAAAATATAATACGAAATACGAAAAATAACAAACATGATCAACCAAAACAATGAATTAAACCCTATAAAAACCAATATGAGAATTAAATCATGAGAAATCAAAACCCCTTTCAATACCAAACCATTAGGCCTAATAGAATAATAGAACCCAAAACTCATAAGTTTTCTTTTAAAACAAAATTAATTGAAACCATAAAAACTATGATAAGCTCATACTTCAGAATAAAACTACAAAACATCAGAGAAAGAAAGAAAAGAATAAAAAATATCTAATGGAGAAACAAAAAAAACAAGAATTATTATGGGTAAAGAACAAAAACAATTCCTAATAATTACTTCACGATGAGACGTGATGATATAGATGGATCGAAATAGAGAGACTATTATGTTGACAATAAGGTTCCAATTTTTCCAATTCAAATTCATAGTCTTCCCAACTCGCATTTAAGAAATTTAAAATAAAATTAAAAAAAAAAAAACAATTTCACAACCTAAAATAGTATCCTAATTTTTGAGCAGCTCAATAAAATTCCTAATTTTTCAATGAAAATCCCCAAATCAAAACCCTAGTTTTCTATCATTAAATAGAAAACAAAATCATAATAAATTATTAATGTTACCCAAAGAACCAAAAACAACGTGTGAATAAACTTAATCAACCAATTGAAAAAGGGCAAAAAAACAAACATAAGAGAAGAAAAACAACCCTAACAAAGTCATCAACGTGTACAGAGGCGAAAATCCATCTTTAACGAATCTAAGGTACGATCGATTTGATCTGAAAACAGAGAAAAAATAAAAAAAATGGAAAAACAAAATCAGACATAAATCAACAAAATTCTATAGAAAACCCTATGAATGCAAACTGAACAAAATCAATATAACTTGAAATTCCAAATTTTCGGTTAACCTGTTGAACTCACTGAGCAATATCCAATGTCGAAGTTAATGGCGGTGAACCCACGGTGAAGCCATATATCAGCAGAGAAGAGAGAGAAGAAGAGTTTTTTTTTTAATTTATTTAAGGAAACAAAGCAGTTCGATTAAGGGGGAGAGAAGAGAGGAAAGAGAAGAGGAAAATAGAAAGATAAGGAAAAGAAACAGGTGGTAGAATAGCAACCATTTCTTCTGTTAGGACTAAAAGAAGGGCAAATAAGACTTTATCATGATGAGAACACTCACCCGAGGTCTGAAAACACTGTTCACTTCTCATTGATGCTTTATATTGTATACATATTGTATAGATAGAAACCTAAAACGACCCAACGCACGTTTGTCGCTAAAGACTTAAACCTTTGCCAACGTGCCATCTAGGTCGCTGTAACCCTTATACTAATAGCAAGGGACTGTTTCGCCGTTGAAACTCATTGATCATCGCTAAAACTTTCCTCATGTTGGAATGCTAATTTTTTTTAGATGCCTAATGTTTGACTTTTTAGCAACGACTTGTTGATCACATCGCTAATGTTAACCTTTTTAGCGATGAAAATGATTTTTGTGTCACGGAAAGGATGTTTTAACTATGCAATTTTGATAGTGTCACCAAAAGTAGTCGCTAAAACTGCAATTTCTTGTAGTATAATCCATTGCAATAGTATTTTTTGAATTTGAAACAACTTAAAATAAAATACTTAATAAGAAGAGGGTTGTGTATGTTTGATAGAGCAGTTCAGCTTTGAGTTTTTAGGTTATAATTAGATTGCAGTAATTGTTTACCATATTTAATAGAAATTTAAATTTTGAAATTGAAAAATGTGTTCCTTTTAAAAGTCAAACTGTGGAATAATTAGAGTTTTATTTTTAGAATTATAATTAGATTCAAGTGAATTATAATTACTATCACACAAATTTAAATTTTGAAATGGTGGAGCATATCTTCCATTTTGAAATAAGTTACATTATTAACAAAAGCAATCAAGATAAACTAAAAGTAGTTAAATTTTGTTAGGAAAAACAAATTAGTTTATTTTTTGATTGCCATGGTTTCTTAATTGAAATTGGGTGCGTTGGAAAGTGTTGGGGCTGCTACTTCAAACAGAAGAGGATTTTCCTATATATTTGAGCTGCGTGCTTGGTTGAGTGTGTGGGGAATGGAGCTTAGCTCTGGATTTTTATGGAATCTCTTGCTGCTTGTTGGTTGCTTTCTCTTTCCTACTTCTATGACAGGAGATTTGTGTTGGGCTGATTTGAAATCATCACTCTTTGAGTAGAGTAAGGTACCTGGTTTGCTCAAATGGTGGCTTTTTGTTGAACAGTTTTGATCATCAAAAAGAGAATGGTGAGTCCCACAGATCCAAACAACACAACCCAATTGTGCTCTCTATTCGAGAGAAGCCAATCCCTTAAAAATTATATTGCGATATATAAAATGCTGAAGAATTAGTGCTATAAAAATCTGACTTAAGTAAATATATATGATAATCTTAATTAAATTATTTATTGTATGTATACATACATATAAAAAAATATTTTATAACGTACGTAATGCAAGAGAATAATTTTTAAGTTAAATGAATTAAAAGGTCTAGGAAAATTTTGTTTAGAGGCACTATTTAAAACAAAGGAGTAGTTTTGGTCAATAAATAGGCAAATTTTTGTGTTATGTTTCTTTGCCTTTAGGTAGTGTTTGGTTTACTGGAATGAAACCGAATGAAATGATCATTTTATCAAAATGTTCATTCTCATGTTTGATTGACTAAAACAATAATGACAAAATGAATTGCAAATGGAGTCATTATTCATCATTAATGTCATTCTATATTAGAACTTAAGGAATGATTATTCCATTCCGTTCCAACTCGTTCCAGTGATCCAAATAGATAGGATTTCTATAACAATGTTACTCTATTTGTTTCTTCATTCATTTTCAAAATTTTCTATATATTTTGTTCTATTGTTTGCATCCTAACAACTTTTTGTATCGGTGATTCATACTTGCATATTTATACTAAATTACTTTTCATTGCAGTGCTGTGACACTGATAAATACCATGGGTAATACATTACCTATCCCAGACAACTCGATTAACCAGCGTTGGCTTTGCATATTAAAACAATCACAATATATTATTAGTCTAGACAGTAATCTTGATACTTTAAGGAATTCATTAGAACATTTAAAACGATGCTGTAATGATGTGAAAAGAAAAATTGATGTAATTTAAGGGAAGCAAGTTGTAGGACAACAGATAAAACGATTAGATGAGGTAGAATGGTAGCTTTCAAGGGTGGAAGAAGTTGAGAAAGAAGCTACTGAATTGATAAGCGCAGGAAGTGAAGCATTTAAGAGAAAATGTTGTGGATGTTTTCCAAAACTTAGCAAATTTGCATACAAATTGGGGCGAGAAGTGAAAAACCAAGAATTTGTAAATGATTTGATAAATTAAGGACTTTTTGAGATGGTGGCTGAGATATTACCTTCACTTGCAGCTGTTGAAAAACTAATGGAGATAACTGTGGGCATAGATCAGAAGGTTAATGAAGTATGGAGTTGTCTGTAAATGGATAATGTGGGGATTATTGGTTTGCACGAATTAGGTGGTGTTGG